CTTGGGGTCCCAGGATGGAGATGAATAGAGGGCAGGCCATGGGGCCAGTGGGCACAGGTGTGAAGGTGGGAGCAGAGGAGGGGCTGTCTGTGGGTCACGCCCCTTTGAGAAGGAGGATGGTGGAAGTGGCTAGACCTGCTGGGCACAGGAGCTGCCCAGAACTCGTATCTCCTGACCAAGGGTCAGTGTCTATCTGGTCCCTTGTTCGTGGCCTTTGGGCCAAAGGCCACCCCTTCTCTGTCCCCGGTTTGGGGTCATCTTGCTGACAGAGAGCTGCGGATCAGCTTGGATTTCTTCAGCTAGGTCCCTCCCGCTTAGGCCGGTCTGGGCACCGCTCCAGCAGAGGTGGGGCACATTTGGCCCACGGGGAAATTCGGACTGCAGAACCTAGTCTCTTTATCTTCAGCTTTAAACAGCCTCATGGTGGGAGCAATTCCAGTGCCCTCTGGGAGACATCACGGGGGTGGGGTTTCTTAACCCTTCCCTGCCCCATGGAATGAGTGGCACCATGGACCTAGAGACACCTTAAGGGCGAGCCAGGGGCAGCACACACCCTCAGACTCTGCCCTCCAACGGGAAGGTGTAGTAATAGTCACTCCTGTGCCCAAAGACTTCTAGGGACAGGCAGCAATGGACAACTGGAGAAACAGAGACCAAAGAGGTCCCAGGGTGCCAAGTTCGAATCCAGTCTCGGGTACAAAGGGTTAAGACGCCTGCGGTTTTCCCTGGGGCGGGGGCGGGGTGGAAGCTGTTTTTCTTTCTGCTCTAAACTTAGCTGGGAGCAGCGGGGTCAGGCCTGCGGTTCCGTGACGCTGTCCCACCATCGGCGCAGTCCAGTTTACAGGGCTGTGGGAACAGCGCGACTGCACTGATCAGACGGGTAAACTGAGGTACGGAGAGGCCTTGGGGCCTGGGGCCGCAGACCTAGGCTGGAGGGCTGCCCGCGACCGACTCGCTCTTCCGAGGCTCACGTTTTGGGGGGTCCTCCGGGCTCTACCTCGCTACCCTGCACTCCCCAAGGGTTCTCCCCAGAACTGACACGGTGTCCCCAAGGAGCGGTCGCGGCCCTCGCCCTGGCTGAGCCACTGTCTGGTTGAATTGACAGAAATGAGCTTTTTTCTCTGAGCTTCGGGTTGCCAAGTCCTGAAAGGGGCACAGAGTGGCGCGGAGCGAGGTCGCCCGTGGTCAGTGGCCACGAACCCCAACCTCCACGCCAGCTTTAGCTCAGCCCTCGAGGTCACTGCCGCTTCCTGCAGGGGCGGGATTTGAACCCAGAACCGTGAATAGTGTCAGAACCTTGACCCAAGACTAATCCCGAAGCCTTGCTCTAAACTGTAACCCTTACCCTGACCCCTTAATCCAAACTCTTAACTTCTTAACCCTAACCCATAGCCTCTGACCCCCAATGCCTTCACTCATAACCCTGACCCGTAACCTCTAACCCCGGGGAACTGGCGGGAGTGAGCGTTCCTGGGGCACCCGCACCTGTGGACTCTGAGCGCGCGCACTTGCGCAGGGCACAGCCCTTGCCTCCAGCGCCCCTTTCAATTCGTGGGCAGCTAGGGCTCAGGGGGAGGCCTGGGCCATCTAGTGCTGTGTCCGGGAGGGATGAGGGGGGCGGGGTGACCCAGGGCGGTCCGCCCCGCCCGCAACCCCCACCTGGAAATGCTGCCTGGCTCAGGAGCGGCTGCGGGTCCCAGGGGCGCGCTCGGGGCGGGCGCAGGGGCTAGGGATGGAGAACGCGGGCAGAGACGGGGAGAGACCGAGGAAGGGAAGGAGGGCCGGCCGCGAGGCCCCAGCCCAGCGCAGCCGGCCGGCCGTCCAGGCCCCCCGCCCCGCGCCCGCCCTCCTCACCCCAGCGGATGGGCCACGGTGAAGCGGCGCTGCAGGCGAAGGCTCTGGTTCGTCAGCAGCTTCCTGCAGAGCCCCGGGGAGCCGCGCGAGGAGCTCCGCGGGGAGGCGGCCGCTGGGGACCCCTGCATCGCGGGAACCTGGCTGCGGCTGGCCCCCGCCGGCCTGAGCGCGGACCTTTTCTGGCCGGCCGCGGGGGCGGGGCCTGGCCGGGACCGGACCCAGGGCGCACCCGCCCCTCCCTGCGGCGCAGGCTCTAGGTCGCCCCCACCCCTTTTGCGCGTGGATGAAAGGGCAAACTGAGGCACGCGCCGGGCCGCCCATGGCTGTGCTCCTGTT